CAGGAAGGGAGGGTGGGAACAGAAGGAGAGGAATAAAGGGACTATGACAGGGATGTAAAATAAATAAATAAAAATTAAAATACAAAAAAAGAAACCCCCACTAAGGCAACTCCTATTGCAGCAGAGGGAGGAAAGTCCAGCAAGCCTTGCCTATTCTCATTTCCAGACTAGCCAAAAGCCAGAGAATCATTTCTGCTAACTCCTTGCCTGCTCCTGGGATCACTATGGGCCACCATATGCACATTCACAGTCACAGACTGGTGCTCCCTGAATCATCTGATATAGATTTTACTAATATTTCTGGTTTAAAGAAATAGGAAACAAAATAGCAACTAGAATGGCATATAAATAAAGATCAAAGTGCTGGAGAGATGGACCAGTGTTTAAGAGTACTAGCTGTTCTCCCAGAGGACCTGGGTTCAATTTACAGTACCTCATAAATCTCTGTGTATGCAAGTGTGCAGAGGCCAAAGCACAGCCTTGGGTATCCTGTCCCATCAGTGCTTTATTTTCCTTAAACAAGGTCTCTTCAAGAATTGGAAGCTAAATTGGTATTTCCAGGCATGATTCCCCAATATGTGCCAAGATTACAGGTGACTATTCCTCCCCTCTCCTCCTCTCTTTACCTTTCTTTCTCTCCCCCCTTCAGCATTCCCACCCTATATTTAATATTCTCATTCTCTCTTTCTCCTCACTCTCACTTTCTTCCTGCTCTCTCTTCCCTTCCCCTTTCTCTCCTACTTTTCCTCTCTTTTTCTCCCTTTCTCTATTTCTCTTTATCTTGCTCTTTCTCTCTTCTCCCTTCTCTGCATTTCTTTTTTCTCCCTTTACACCTCTCTTTCTCTCCATCTTTCTCCCACTGTCTCACTCCTCCTCCCTCTCTCAATTTCTCTCACTCTCCCCTTCTGTCTTAGCCAGTGTTCTGTTGTTATGAAGAAACATCGGGTAATTCTTAAAACTCAACCCAACAAAACCCAGCCCAAAAACCCTAAACATTTAATTGGGGCTTCTTTACAGTTTCAGAAGTTTTATTTCATTATCCTGGCAGGGAGCATGGTGGTGTCATGGCAACACTCATGGCACTGGAGTAGTGCCTGAGAACGACATCCTAATCCACAAACAGAGAGAGATTTGGGCTTAGCATAGGCTTTTGAAAACTCAAAGCCCATCCCCAGTGGCACATTTTCTCCAACAAGGCCATACCTACTCCAACAAGGCCACACTTCTTAATCCTCAAGTAATGCCACTTGCCGATAATTGATCACTCAAATATATTAGCCTATGGGGGCCATTTTTATACATCTTCTCTCTTTTTTCAGCAGTCTCTTCCTCTCTCTTGCTCTCTCCCTTCCTCTCAACCTCTCCCACTCTTGGTCTCTCTCATCCTTCTGTCTTCATCTCCTTCTTTCTCCATTTTTCTCTTTATATCTCCCATTCTCTTTTCTTCTTTCTCTCCTTTTTTCTTTAATTAATTAATTAATTTATTTATTTATTTATTTATTTATTCATTTTATTTTATTTTTTTATCTCTCTCCCTTACTCTTTCATTTTTTAATTTCTCTTTCTCTCATGTTCTCACTCTCCTCTCTCCCCTCTTTTTCTGTCTTACCCCATCTCTTTTCCAGTAGTATCCAATGCCTTCTGGTTTTTGTTGGCATTCAAAACTGTGATACAAAGACAAATCATTCAGGAAATACACCATGTACATAAAAAATCAAAAAAGCAAAAGAAATGATAATGTATCACTCCATTGATTGTTTATTTACCTTTCAGAAGCTTTTTAATTTTATGAGATTCCATCTGTCAGTTGTTGGCCTGCAATCTTGGGCAAATGGAGTTCTTTTCAGAAATTTCCTTCCCCAACTTGTCCTTTGTAGGATACTACTGATATTTTCTTTTCATACTTTTAGAATCTTGCATTTCACTTTTATGTCTTCCTTCCATTTAGAATTAGTTTTTGTGCAGGGTGAAAGATATGTGTTTAATGTCTTTCTTCTATATGTGAGTATCTCGTTTGCCTAGCATCATTTGTCAAAGGTGTTAACATTTATCTAATGCTTGTTTCTGGCATCTTTTTGAATATTAAATGCTGTAGTTACATATTCTCATGCTGTCAACTTGGGTAATGTTCCCTCATTCTACATGTCTGTTTTTGTGCTAATACTGTACTGTTTTAATTATTAAGGCTCTATAATATATCTTCAAGTCTGGGATGCTATTAGGATTATATTGGTAAACCAGGGTCTTTGTGTTTCTCTGTGAATTTAGTATAGTCTTAGTTTCTTTCATTTTTTGTTTTTATTCTTTTCCCTATTTCTGTGAAGGTGTCAAGGTGAGGTGTGACTTCTAGGTGAAATTGAATTGATTCCAAACATGAATTTCTGTAGAATAGTCATTGTCTTAGTTATTGCTGTGAAGAGACACCATGACCAAGGCAACTTATGAAATAAAGCATTAAATTTTGGGCTTGCTTGCAGTTTCAGATGGTTAGCTAATTGTCATCATGGCAAGTCATGTGCTGGGGAAGATAGGCAGGCATGCTGCTGGGGAAGTAGCTGAGAGCTTACATCTGATCTACAAGTTGCAGACTGAGAGAGTGACACAGGGTCTGGCATGGGCTTTTGAAATCACAGTGCTTAACTCCATAGACACACGTTCTCTAACAAGCCCATACCTCCGAATCCTTTCCAAACAATTTCACTAACTGATGGATTAAGCATCCAAATATATGAACCTATGGGATGCATTTTTATTCAAATCAACACATTCTACTCTCTGGCCTTCATAAGCTTATAGCCATATCATTATGCAAAATGCATTCAATCCAACCTCAAAAGTCTCCACAATCTTTCACAGTCTTAGTATTGTTTAAAAGTCCAAAGCCCATTATCAGACTCAAAACAATCTCTTAACTTTCCCTGTGGGGGAAAAAAAATCAAATACTTCCAACATACAATGTCACAGAATATACATTAATATTCTAAATAGGAAAAAAGAGAGTATAGAGAGGAAACACTGATTAAAAGCAAGACCAAAACCCAGAAGGGCAAACTTTAAATCCTGTAACTCCATATCTGATGTCAAAGGGTTCTCTTTTATGGCTCTTCGCTTCTAGCTTTGCTGACTACAACACACTTCTCTCTACTGGGATACTTCCATGTCCAGTCTACATCTCTCCATACAGGCATCCCAAAACTATGGCATCTCCCACAACTTGGGGTCTCCAATGCAACCCAAGTTCTACCTTCACAACTTTAATCCATATCTTTTGAGGTTCATAGGTGGCCACTGTTGGAGTAGCTGGATCACAGCCTGTAACTAAGTCACTAAGTTATTCTAATCATACATCTCTATCATCTATCTATCTATCTATCTATCTATCTATCTATCTATCTATCTATCATCTATCTATCTATAGCTATCTATCTATCTATCCATCCATCCCTTTCTCTATTTATATCTCTCTCTCTATCTTTCTATCTATACTCTATAAGTTCTGTTCCTCTATGGAACCCTGACTAATACAATCACTTTTCTAGTCCAAAATCCTGAAGTGTTTCATATTTTTCCAATAAACATGTCAGGCTAGTCACAAGATACTCAATTCTTTGTCACCAACTTCTGTCTTAAATACTATTCTATTGCTGTGAAGAGACACCACAACAAAGACAACTTATAAAATAAAGCATTTATTTGTGAGGTTGCTTATAATTTCAGAAGGTTATTCAACTATCCTCATAGCATTGGAGCAGCAGTTAGGAATGGTACTAGGGAAGTAGCTAAGAGCACACATCTGGTCTGCAGGTTCCAGATTTAGGGAGGGAGACTGGACCTGGCATGGGCTTTTAAAGCCTCAGTATCCAACATCAGTGACACAGCTCCTTCAGCAAGGCCACACCTCCTTCAACAAGGCCATGTCCCTAACTCTTCTTAAATAATTTCACTAATTAGTGACCAAGCATTCAAATATATGAGCCAATTGGGGCTATTCTCATTCACACCACCATAGTCATAGTTACTCTATTAATTCTACCATTGCAAAAGCATGGTATGTCTTTCCATTCCCTGGTGTCTTCCTTTGTCTCTTTCATCAGAGATCAAACATTTTCATTTTAGAGCCCTTTTATATCATTGGTTAGGTTTATTTCTAGATATTTGATTTTTTTTCAGCCTATAGCAAGTGGCTTTGTAGGAAATTTGGAGTACTTCTATTACTTCTCTGCCTTTTATTTCTCCCTTGATTTTTTTTTTTACTTATTAATCCTGCAATAATGAATGAGTGCTTAATCTCCAGTTCCAGGGGAAAGCGATGCTCACTTATGTCCTCAGAGGGGACCTGTGGTGCACAGTGCCAAGCAAAACAACCATCTACAAAAGAATGAAAAATGAAAGGAATAAGGCACCTTACCCCACAAGTATGCTAGATTTATTATCATCATCATTATTTTTACTAATAGTTATTATTATTTCTCTTTCTAGGGCATGTGCATGTTCCTCCTGATTGAGACTTCTGTTGCAGTGATGAGTGAGGCTGTGTGCTAACTGAGAACACTCTTGCTTTTCCATATCCTCCAACTGAGACCCAGGGTCTGTGTTATTATTTTAGTATATAGAATGGTGGCCAAGCCTGAGGAAACTTTCTTTCTGGACACTTGCCTCTACTGTAGGTGCCCAAGATTAAGGAAGAGGACTCTTGTAAAAGAAACAAAAGTTATAAACTAACAGACACCATTACAACACTTTCAGTACCAGAGGAGCTGGTTTTATATAGCACTCTAAGGTATACTTCCCCACTCCTACTACCAAAGTGCATTGTATCTTTATTAGTAATGTGTCACATCTAGTTTTTGATAGACAGAAATAACCCGTGGTTTTTTGTTTGTTTTTGGTTCTGTGTTGTTGTTTTTTAATTGTTAAATGTGTACATGCCTGCCCGTTTGTTGTTGTTTTGTTTTGTATTCCTGAGATCTTTGATAACTAAGGCCCCAATCTCTTTAAATTGAGCCGTGGGTCATTTTAACTCATTGTGGCCCATTCACTATGTCAGGGGCCATGCTAATCTTCTCTGTATCATTCCAATTTTAATATATGTGCTGCCGAAGTGAGCACTACCATGTCAATACTGATATATAGACAAACAAATCCTATGATATGTAATTCCAGAATCTCAGACTTGAATGAGAGAAAATTGGACTTCATGGCACTTGCCTAACCAAACAGAATCCGGAGGCGAGGCGAAGGCAGAAGGATCAGAAGTTCAATGTCATCATCCATTCATAACACCTTGAAGCTGTTGTAGAGATGAGGGTAGAAAAAACATGAAGGGTGGGACCTCATCTTTGATTTAAAAATAGATATGTTTGTAAGCACAAAAGGCTGCTCTATCATGCTTTAAGACCTGAGTTGTAGCTGGAGTAGGGGTAATCCCAGCACTCTGGGAGGCAGAGGAAGGCAGATCTCTTTGAGTTTGAGGCCAGCCTGGTCTACAAAGTGAGTCCAGGTCAACCAAGAAAAACATATAGAGAAACGTTGTCTAAAACAAAACAAAACAAACAAACAAACAAAAAATACTTGAGTTGTGACCCTGCATGGCTAAAGCCTCTTCTTCTGTTTCCTTTTCCTCTACCCCTTAATGCCATCTCCCTGAGCTAGCACACAGGGAGACATAAATGCACAAGATCCCTGTTACCAGATTCAATATCCTCAGGAATGTACAATAAACATGTTGTCTGTACTTTATCAATTTGTCTCTCTCAAATAAGGTGTTTAATTTGATTTTTGTTTTTGTCTATTATTATTTTCATAGATGGGTATATCTGCCTTTCTCTCTAGCCATCTGTCTTTGTCTCCCACTCTTTCTCCATCTCTCTCTCTTTCTCCTTCCCTCTCTCTTCTATAGCCCCCATCCCTTCTCCACCTTTCTTTACTTCTTTGACTTGCTTTCATTTCTTGTCTCTCCCTCCTCTCTTACCTCCCTATTGCTCTCTCACTTTCTTCTTTCCTTTACCTCTCTCCCTCTCTCCTGTGCTCTCTCCCCACTTGACTCTTTCTGTCTCTGATTCTCCTTCATTTCCTTTTTTTCCCACCCTGTATGTCTCTCTCACTCTTCCTTTCTCTCCTCCCTCTCTTCCTCTCTCTTCCATTTTTCTTTTATTTCTGCCTCTCTTTCCTGTCTCCCTTACCCTTTTCCCTTCTCTCGCTCCTCTTTCTAAATCACCCACTATCACTGACTCTCTTTCATATTCTCTTACACTTTCTCACCTTCTCTATCCTCTCTCTCCCTCCCTGCTACCCTTCTCTTCTAAATCCTTCTATCCCCCTCTATCTCTTTCCATCTCATTCTTTCACTCTCCTATTTCCTTCTCTAGAACTCTCTGTCCCCACTTCTCTCTTTTTCTCATATCCACCATCTCTGCTTCTCAGTCCCTACTCTTTTCCATTTATCTTTCTCACTTGCTTTCTCTTTCTCCTTTCTTCACTTTTCTCCTGATTATTCTTCTTTCTCTTGCTCTCTCATCTTTTTCCCTCTCTCCCTCTATCTCTTTATATCTCTACTTCTCTCTTGCTCTCCATAGCTCCAGCTTTCCTCTCCCCTTCACTCTTTACCAATCTCCTTCTCTCTTTTCTACTTTCTCTTAACTTGTAGCTTTCTCTTTGCCACTCTCTGTGTCCTTATTTTTCTCCCCCTTTCTCTCCCTATTTTTCATAAATCTTAAAAAAATAAAAGTTCCGACTAATTCTTCACTCTTATGTAGGTGTGCTTAAAAAAAAACTCTTCTATTTACATTTCTTATATCTTTTTCTCCCTATTCCACCCCAATCCCTTCCAACACCAGGTAGGAGAGAGAAAGGGTTAGTGGAGAAAGAGTCACAGTTCTCTTAGCTGTTTCCTGCTGGTTTAGGGTCATCAGGTTCCTTGGAGTCAGTCCAACCCTTGTTTCAAGAGATCTCTAACTTCTTTTCTCAAAACAGCCACCAGGGGCAACAAAGGGAAAGCAGGCGCAGCGTTGTTCTTTCTCTTCTCTCCATGCTCTCTGGCCCCTGGCATTTATTCTATCTCCAGACTCCTCAGATTTAAACTACTGCAGCTGGCAAAGAACTCTCAGTGCCCGGTTGAAGCAAACAGTCTTCAAATAGTCTGCCGTGGATCGTCTGAATAAGTCCCACATCCCACACCTAGAACCAAAACAAAAACGTTTATATCCACACTTTTACTCTTCAGAAATTCTTCACTGATTTTTTGTTTTTACAAGCAGAAGCTTTTTTGTTTTATGAAGTTCCTATGTCTATTGTTGGCATGGATTCCTGGGTAAATTAGTCCTCTTCATCAACTTCTTCCCAACACCTATGCACTGTAGGGGACTGACAATGTTTTCTACATGAACTTTCAATGTTTCCTATTTCACAAGTAGGACTTGCACCCATTAGAGTTCATTTTTGTTCAGTGTGACTGATATTAGCTTAACTTCATTTTCTAAGTATTGTATTCAGTCTTGCCAACACCATTTTTTAAAGGTTTTGTTTTATTACTTGTGTGATTTTTAGCATCCTTTAAAAACATTAGATGGCTTTAGTTCCATCTTCCCATGCTGTTGTCTTGGATATTGTTCCCTCAGCCTACATGTCTATTTTCATGCCAGTAACAGTGTTTTCATTACCAAGGCTCTGTATTTCATCTTCAGGTCTGGAATGTTATCAGGAGGCTAACCAGAGTCTTTTGTGATTCCATACATATATTTTAAAATAGTGTGTCTTTCTTGTTTCCCTATTTCTTTGAAGGATGAAGTAGGACTTTTTTTTTAAATCTTTTATTTTTTTTATTAATTACACTTTATTCATTTTGTATCCCCCCATGAGCCCCTCCCTCCTCCCCTGCCGATCCCACCCTCCCTCCCCTTTCTGCATGCATGCCACTCCCCAAGTCCACTGATAGGGGAGGTCCTCCTCTCCTTCTTTCTGATCTTAGTCTATCAGTAACCCTAACCCTAACCCTCTTCAACATAGTGCTGGAAGTCCTTGCTAGAGCAATAAGACAGTCAAAGGAGATCAAGGGGATACAGATGGGAAAAGAAGAAGTCAAATTATCACTATTTGCAGATGATATGATAGTATATATGAGTGACCCCAAAAACTCTACCAGGGAACTCCTACAGCTGATAAACACCTTCAGCAAAGTGGCCGGATATAAAATTAACTCAAAAAAATCAGTAGCACTCCTGTATACAAAAGAGAAGTAGGACTTTTAATTGGAATTCCAACCATGTCTTTTGGTAGAATAATTCTTTTTCCACTGTTAATTCTACTGGTCCAAGAGCATGTTATGTCTTTCCATTATTTGTGTCTTTATTTCTTCAGAGACCTGAAATTTTCACTGTAGATGTCTCTCACCTGCTTAATTAAGGGAATGCCTAGATATTTTCTTTTAGGTTATAGTGAATGGCTTCATAGGAGTTTGGGAGTGTTCCTCTGTTTCTGGGACTTTTAAATTTATTTTTTATTGATTACAATTTGTTCACTTTGTATCCCAGCTGTAGCCCCCTCCCTCATCCCCTCCCAATCCCCCCTCCCTCTCTCATCTCCTCCCATGCCCCTCCCCCAGCCACTGATAGGGGAGGTCCTCCTCCCCTTCCTTCTGATCATTGCATATCAGTTTTCATCAGGACTGGCTGCTGTTGTCTTTCTCTGTGGTATGGCAAGGCTGTTCCCCTCTCAGGGGGAGGTGATCAAAGAATCAGCCACTGAGTTTATGTTAGAGACAGTCCCTCTTCCCATTACTAGGGAACTCACTTGGATACTGAGCTGCCATGGCCTACATCTGTGCAGGGGTTCTAGGTTATTTCCACACATGGTCCTTGGTTGGAATATCAGTCTCAGAAAAGACTACTGGGCCCAGATTTCTTCGTATTGTTGCTCTCCTTGTGGAGCTCCTTTCCCTTCCAGGTCTTTCTATCTCCCTCTTCTTTCATAAGATTCCCTGCACTCTGCCCAAAGTTTGGCTATGAGTCTTAGAGCCACTCATCATGCATTAATGAATGCGTTGTTTGATTTCTAATCCCTTAAATGCCCATATTTGCCCTCTGAGTACACAGGACAGGTTTATAGTCCTATGTGCAGGCAAAACAGCCCTCCCCATAAAAATAAAAAAATGAGCCACATGTATTCTAAATTTATTATCATCCATACTATTTTTTTTTTTTTTTACTAAAAATTAAGTGTCATTATTATTTCTGCCAGGTCACATGTATGTTTATCTATATTTCTCCTTCTGCCAAGATGAGTGGTGAGGATGTGTCTCAACTCAGAACAATCTTGCTTTTCCTTCTTCTCTGATTGGGACCTGGTGTTTGTGCTCTCATTGAAGTGTGTAGTGGATCTGTTGGATTTGGGGTAGAAGCCGAGAAAGCTCACACCAGATATAGAAGCTTAAAATGAAAGCTTCATTTTCTGAGTTCAGGAAGACAGTCAGTTTGGGATCTGAACTGAGGGGAAGCTGTGTTGCATATTTAAAGGTGAAAACCAAAATTAGCTCCCATGGGGGTGGGAGGATAGGAGGCACAGTGGAACAGGGTAGTCATCTCTGACTCAAGTTATTTTTTGCTATCTAGACAAGCAGTTCTAGCTGACCATTAGTTTGATTGGTCCAAGTAATGTTTATGGGTAGGGCCAGCTGTGGTTAGGGTTGGGAAATTTCTGGGAACAAGGCCATAGAGTATGCTAAACATAAACATAGTTTTTGGTCAACCTGACATTGTAGAGAGATTCTTTTTTTTAATATCAGCAACAAGCTGAGATAGGCCTCAGCTTATTGGCTGTTAGGCTTGAAACAAAAATGACTGTAGTTATGCTACCCAGAAAGAGCAGGTACCATCAGATATGTTTACAGTTACTTCCTTTCTGACCCTAGCCTCTGCCATGCATACCTTGGCTAAAGAAGGGAACCTCTGGAATAACAAAAAAAAAAAAAAAGTCACAAATTGATAGCAACTATAATAGCAGTTTGAACACCATGAAAACAGGTTTTACAATATACTAACATATTTTTTTTCTCTAATCCTGAGACCAAAAGTACATTATGTTTTCAGCAATAAGTTGTTTCTATAAGTTTAAGG